GTAGTTGTCTCTTTGCTTCAGTGTTTTACTAAAGTTGTGACAGATTTTGTCAAGCAAGAAGGGATTAGTAAAGAGTCATCTTCTACCGTTTCACAACATGAGATTCTTGGAACTTCAAACACGTTTCAACGAACACAATGTTCGAGCACTGTCATGTTTGTTCAAGAGCTGTCCAATGCTTAACATACTTCTTCTCAAAATCATAAATGATCAAACAAGTGAAAGAAGGGTAAGCAGAATTGAGAGAAATAACGCTTTTTTTTGTTTGTCTTTCTCGGTTTTTCGCTGAATTGTCTTCTTATGTTTTGACAGCAATGGAATAAGGATTTGTGGGATATGTCTAACTCGGAGATTCAATACTGGGAATCTCAAAATTTTGAAGTGGAATCTTTCTTGAACCATTTGGAATTTGTGGAAATTCGTGGATTCTTAGAGTGCGAGAACGAAATGAGCCTCGCTATCTTTCTGCTGAAACATGGAAAGGCTTTGATCAAGATGACTCTAAGATCTAGTTTCCTCTGTAGAGACTCTCTGAGAAGACAAATGATTAGGTCACAGCTAATGGGATTCTCCATGGCTTCTTCCAAAGCTAAAATCTCATTCCATTAAATGTTTCTGCATAATTTTCAGTTTCAGGACTCGAGTCAATTTAGCCATTACAGTTTTGTTCTGTTGAAATCTTATGCTTATTCAGAATAAATAATACAGAAAAAGTTGATGGCTCAAGTGAATCTTGAGAGAAATTATCTATCTTCCATCTTCAAGAGTTATGGTAAGCTCATTTTGGGAGCAAGTTTCTGGTTTGGTAGATGAAGAAGCTTTGCTTGATGAAGGACAACGTCTAAGGATAAAAGCCGGTTGTTTCGGATTCGGGAGAGTAGCTGCTTCGCTGCTTCCGAACATGAAAACAACATTTGACATTGTAGGACGATCATTAGGATCTTCTTGTACACATAGCAGTCCAATTTTCAAGCACTTCAAGAATTCTTCGGTTTTGCAAGTTTCTTGTAAAGCCTGATCCAGTAACTCAATCCCTCTTTCCGCATACCAGAGATCCCATGCCTGCATGTATATATGTGTTACCTGGTCAAGTTTTTAAACAAGTAATTGATGTGCATAAACAAGTTTAAAGTCTCAGATCCCTCACATAGCCTAAAAGGCTTAAACATTTTTCCGGCACATAAAACCCGGTGTTTCGCTTCCCGCTTATAGTTTCGATCAAAACTACGCCAAAACTAAAAACATCTGATTTGAACGAGAATAGTCCTTCTAGAGCATACTCTGGAGACATGTATCCACTGCAATACAAAGAAATCAAAATGTATTAATTTACCATAATGTTAAGAAATGGAATCAATGAGCTCAGAACTTACTAAGTTCCCACAACTCGGTTAGTATTGGCTGAAGTTTCATTGCCACCAAATATTCTAGCCAAGCCAAAGTCAGAAATCTTAGGATTCATCTCCTCATCTAACAGAATGTTGCTCGCTTTCAGATCCCTGTGGATGATTCTCAGTCTAGAGTCTTGATGCAGATAAAGAAGTCCTCGAGCGATTCCTAGAATGATATTACAACGGATACTCCAATCTAACCGCTGGCACAGCTTCCGATCTTTGCAAGAACCAGAGATTTTTGAATTAAGAACTGAACTGAAACACTTATTAAAGAAGAGACAAGGCTCTCTACTTACCAAAAATGAAGAAGTCTAAGCTTTTGTGTGGCATGTATTCATACAGCAACAGTTTCTCTTCTCCAGCAACACAGTAACCAAGAAGTCGAACAAGATTCCGGTGTTGGAGCTTAGCAATCAAAACAACTTCATTCTTGAATTCCTCCAGTCCTTGACCCGAGCAGCGAGATAGCCTCTTCACAGCAATCTCTTGATCTCCAGGAAACATTCCCTGAGTCACACAAGCCAACTTTCATTATAAGTCTCTATTAACATAGTCAAACCAAATCAGATCGAAAGATGAAAAAGAAACATTCAAAACCTTATAAACCGGTCCAAACCCTCCTTGGCCTAACTTATTTTCATTTGAGAAATTGGATGTTGCAAATAGAATGGTCTCAAGCTCAAAAGAAGGAACATCAATTCCTTGAGTATCATCTTCTTTAAACCTTCCCGAATCAATCAAATCTTTGATATGTCTCTCACTGTCACATAGATTAACTCCTCTTGGTATGCTTCCTACTTCCTTGCTTACTTTTCTTCTTTGCAAATATACATAAGAAGCAGTGCTTGACAGAGCAACCAGAATAGCTGCACTTGTAAAAGTCAACACAATGATCAAAGCCACCGGTGTTTTAGCTTCCCGGTATCTTCCACGAGCATGCTCTATATAAGAGAGTCCATTAATCAAAGTGATGAATCTTTGCACTAAAATTATGAAATGAGTTTTGTCTTAGCTTTACCTTGAGTGCAGTTTAAACTGAAGCCATCCCACTTAAAATCATGGTTGCAGAAGCACCGCTTCTTCCCGTCTTTAGAGCTACTGCAAGATGAATTAGGCCAGTCTTTACAGTCTACAGACAAAGAACAAGTTGGCTCAAGCGGAGGATCCCAACGAATCTCCACTTCAGTTCCACCAGTAACAATGTCTGCATTACACTTTCCCGTGAGACGAAAAGGCGAAGATACCTTTAACTCTGAAATTCTGCTCATCTGATATTCAGTAGTGCAGTTTACTACCACATCTTTTATTTTGATTAAGAATCTGTGAGTATCCGGATTGATACTAGTTACATTATATGAGCTGTTGAAAATGACTTGACCAGTAGACATATTGCAGTTAAAACTAAGGTAGTTCATGTCACCGCATCCAGGAGCCGTGCTCAAAGGATAAGGGATAATATTTGTGCCACAGGTCACACAATCTCTGCTTGTAGACTCTGCAGAATTTAACCATCAACAGTTATAAATCATAATGCATTCTAAAAGCATTTCATATATATATCGAAATCGATAGAGATTGTTTACCTATATCAGGAACTGCTACGCGAATGAATATGTTACGGCTACCTAAATAGCCTTCCTTGAGATTGTTGAGGTCCTCCAACCAAATCCAGCACTTGGTATCAACTTCTTCATATGAGTAAGCTTGGCATTGGCAATTATTCAAACACTCTGCTCTGCATTCTTTTTCATTATGTGCATCGAACTGCGAATCCGGACTTCCTACTTCAACCACACTCAGATTCAAGAACATGTCACCCACCACAGCACCATCTTTACCACAGATCTTTGAATCTCTAGAACATCCACCAGAGTAATCTCCCTTGACCCATTTCTCCATGAAATTAGGCCTAAAACCTGGCAAACACTTACACATCTCCTCATTCTTACTGTTACAGTTACCAAAATTTCCACAAGCATTGTAGACACTACATTCATCTCTAGGTTCAGACCAAATCTGTGCCCATATTCTTTCACCATCTAACCTGAAGTATTGAGCTTGACCAGAGGAGCTCATGATAAACCTTGTATCAGTATACAAAGATGTGAAGAGAGGAGGCACTGAGGCATTGTGAACGGTTACAGTCTCTGTGAAGTTGGAAAGGAAGTAGGAAATGGCGTAAGGCATCTCATCTGATCCGATGAATTTACCCGAAATCCCGGTTTTCCAGTATCTCATTGATCTTTTCCAAATGATGAACTGTTTGTCTTCTTCTTGATCCATCTTGAAAGTGAAGTTTCCAGGCGACGGATCGTTGTAACTTCTCCATGATGATAAAGTCATGTTCTCATCAATCCTCATACCTGGAAGAAACGTATCGGTCGGATTCTGAAAACTTTGCCAAACAACTTTTGCTTCATCTCTCATCAACACAAGATTGCCATTATCCATCAAATTTACTTTTCTCTCCGCAGAGACTGAGTAAGGCTCAACATTGGTGTCCCAATACACTCTTCCCTTTGAGTCAACGACTTCAAGATTTCCATCTTTAGAGATAGTGAGAATGCTGGAACGGTCAAGAACCGGAGCTTCACGGTTTGCAACCCAAACAACAGTAAGTGGATGTAAATTGTAAAACCAAATCCCTAAGTACCTTCTTGCATCAGAGCTTCCATTAGGAGTGAAGAATCCGAGCTCGAATCTCTGACCAGGTGAAACAAGAGTGTCTCCATGGCTGTCATTGATAATCAAAGTTGAACCTTTGAGCAATGTAATGGAGTCTTTAACTGCAGCAACAAAGCAATCTAATCGACAAACATTCAGCAAAAACATGTAGAATAAGACAAAACGTTTCATTTCTCTGACCAGTACTACTGACCATGTCTTACACATCTGATATCTCAATTTGTTTTCTTCTAAAAACCTCAAAACGTGTCCGAAGAAAAAAAAAAGTTTGCCTCAACGTCAACGAAAGACCCACCTCAAAAAAGTATATATGTGGAACGCAGCTAATCATGTGTTTTAAGATGTTTCCAAGAAAAAAGAGAACAAGTCTCACTTCAGCAGCTGAAGCAAAAGCCATGAGAAGTAACAGATACTTACTACTTTACACCAACTTAGCTACTGTGTATATACACAAGTGATCCACTATCAACTTTTCCGGCGATGGATTTTATAAATAGTTCAAAAAGATCCAATATTTTTATTGAAAATACGTATTTTAGAGTATTTTTTAACAGTTAGAGAGACATAAAGGGTACCTCAACGTTAATTATTGGGAAAAGGGGACAATGGAGTTTAAGAAGTCAATATTTTGTCCTTTATTGGTGCTTTTGAAAGAGTGGAGATTGACCCTGCAAACTTTGTTAACCAACTTTTTTCCGGAAATCTTGTGAGATTCGAGGAGTTTTGACAAACGCAGGATTCTTGTCTTTTGAAAAAATGTTGATTTAAAACGCGTAAGAGGCAGCTTCAGCTCTGATTAAACAAAAGAGAGCTTTAGCATAAAGAAATGATGCACATTTGTGTAACAATGTCACTATAAGACATTACTGTTTAAAATAGATTCACAAAACATTAATCGAATTTCAAACTTAAAACAACTTTGTCTTGTGCCTTGTTTGTTTATTCCTCTGGATCTTTCTTTCATAGATGTACCTTTAAAGGGCATAGCAGTTTCAAGTTCCTAGATGAAGCCCTGTAGCTCACAAGTCTATGATTTTAAGGACATTTTATGAGAGTTGGATTGGTTCGCCACACAGATTCTCTAACTCCTCTTCCAAGAGTTTATGCAGCTTTGCTTCCGTTCGCCGGTAAATCCACACATTAGCATCCTGGTCCCAATCGAATCTAGAAGGGCCACTGCGCCGAAACAACATGAAAAGAAAGGAACGAATTCAGATGACATCAATGTGAATCCAAGATGTGGAAACACAAAAGCAAGAGTAACAAATTGGTTCTTGGACAGTTAAACAAAATCATAAGATCATCAGACAAACAACGGAACGTGATGATCCAGATGCAAAATTGTTCGATTCAGACACCTAAAGTTGGCAACTTTCAAAGAAAAAACAATATTCTTTCTTACCTTACGGGTGAAGACATCCATATTTGTCGATTTGGAGTTTGCTTATTCAGTACATATGTGCCTAAAGATCCAAGCTTCAGAGTCAAAACTTCATTCTGTTAAAGACAACAAAAGACTAACTATAATAAGCACACATGGATTTTTCAAAAATCTGAACAAGATCATAAATAAATGCTTAAAAAGAGTTAATCTTTACCCCATAATCAATGTCAAACCCATCAATCTCGACATTATCACCATATTCCTGAACATGAACCATGTTGTTCCAGTAAGTCATTGTAACTAAGAACAAATGTTTAAAGCTACTGCAATCTGAAGTACCTCAATTTTCTCAAGAAGGTCATGAATTGTGAAGTTAGCTAATCTGTGAAACTCATCCTCCTGCAAAACAGAACTGTTTTTCTTCCCATTGTGTTCATTGTCTTCATGAAATTAACGATTCCGATAACAATAAAGGAGATATAGGGAAGGAAATTACCTATTATCGATTGAAGCAGGACCTTGAGATTGAGACGAGAAGCTTCTGGTAGTAATAGAAGAATCATGGCGGATATGAGATTCTCCTATTGGCCAGAATGAATCCAATGGCTCGATGGTTTTATGAATCAAATTGCTTGAAACCCTCGAGCTATTGCTATGGACAAGGGTTTGAGAAAGCTTGAGAGATCTTGACAATCTTCGAAGAAGCAGAAACCTTGAAGCTGTAGCCATGGCGGTTCTGTTCACAAAAGACATTCGACGCTTCTCTTCTCTTCTTTTATTTCTTCGTTGTCCAATTAAGGCCCAAGCTGAGGCCCAAATTTAGGTTACGCCGGTTTAGATTCGTTTCGATGTTACGGTTTATTAAAACCAACCGGTACGGTTTATTAGACTCCGAAAATTCTTCTTCTTCTCTCTCCCTTTCCATGAGAAAATCAGAGTTTTGAAGAAAAAGGAAAAAAAAAATTCTGGATTTTGGGAGCTGATTAGGTTTTGTTTCTTTCAATTTCTGGGAAATTTCAATCTGGCTATGCACTCAGGTTAAATCCGTTTTTTTCTCTCTCTCTATTTCAATCTATCCCATTCCATTGTTTGGATTTTTCTGCGTTTCTTTTTGTAACTTGCGAGTTTACGTGTGAGAATCGTTTTCAATGTTCTTGTTTTCTGTGGAATTACAATGCAACTCATGTTTTCGTAGTATTAGATAGTGAAATTCATCCATGGGCACTGGAGATTTTGAGTTTGTTAAATGGTACTTGTTATCAAGTTAAGAATTTTGGAAGCTTTTGTTCGTTTTGATTGGTTTTAAGGGTGTTTTGGCTGATGAGTGAAGGTCAGAAGTGCTGAAATTGTATCCCTTATGTGAAATTTGTGTAGATATCTTGCCTGAATTGCGGTATTACCAACAACATTTTAATAACCAAAAGTTCGATTTTTGGCCATATGTTAATCTCTGTGTTATTGAAACAAAAGAAGACATTTAGGTTTTGGTTTGATGGAGAAAATGTTTCCATGTTTTACCATTATGGTTGAATCATGCTATATCTTTTCTGTTGTGCTGTATTTGATAGATTCAGGCGAGGTGCCCGCCGATGGCGATAAAACCTCTACAGAAAACAGCAAAAAACGGAAGCTTAAGACTCCTGTCCAAATTATGACGCTTGAGAATTTCTATAATGGTAACTATGGCTTTGTTATTTATTTCTGTTTGTTCCTTTTATGTCAAGTTGGATATGTTTTACAGGTTTAATTTGGTTTTTCTACAGAGCATAAGTATCCGAGCGAAGAAATGAAGGCAAAGTTAGCAGATGATTTAGAATTAACCGAGAAGCAAGTTTCAGGTTGGTTCTGCCATAGAAGGTTAAAAGACAAACGTTCTGGAAAAGAAGATGGGAACACCATCGGGAGCCAAGATCGGTCAAGCGTTGTTCTTCAGGATCGTGGAAGCGGACTTCGACAGGATTCATGTGGTAGCACTAAGCAAACGGATTATTTCAACCCAAAGCCAAGGGAAGTTGAAAGCCAAAGGCTTTATGGGGGCTCTTCCATGGGAAATGCTGATGGTGAAGAAGATAGTACGTCTTCTGAACGTAGCTCATCATTACATAAGAATCTTGTCTCTAGCAAAGATGGTGTCCGTGATGTGGAAAGTTCTAGATATGTTGCACATAATGACGTTATCCAGCATCCTCAGGTTATGAGAAGCTATGGGTATAATAAGCCTTCGGGATACTTGAAAGTGAAGGGAGAGACTGAGAATGTTGCTATCACTGCCATAAAGAGACAACTAGGAAGACAATATCAAGAGGATGGTCCAAATCTGGGGGTTGATTTTGATCCTCTTCCTCCTGGTGCATTTGAGCCCCAGACTAATGCTATAGTTCACGGTGAGTCATGAAAGAATGTTTCGACCTTATCTTAAACCGTCTGGTTGATGATGTTATGAATATTGAGTAAGTGGTTTAGAAAAGCTAAAATCGTCTTCTTCGTTGTGTCAGATTGTGAATGCCTTTACACATGTCCAGTCGGATTTGATTGCTTTTTCTATCAACTGTTTTGTCAGAGCCAATCTATGTTGGGAATCAAAGACGGTATCACTCTTCACATGTAACTGGAATTAGAAAGAACTTTAATCCTGGTCCTGTAAGTGATCTTTTAGAAGCTTTCTTCTTATATATTACATAGCCATGGAAATTTTAATCTGCCATCACATTCCTTGGCTAAACTATCTTAATTTGTTTACTCTGAAGTTATCGTATTATACACTAATTTTTGTCTTTCTTAATGTCTTTATAGAGCTATGAGTTAGCTTGTAAATCAAAGATGCATTCACCAGATCCAGATTCC